CAAAAATGTAGCCACCAACATCGGAACAGCCTTTTTCAAGATCTTTGGTGAAGACTCCCTCAAAGAGCCTGTGTTACATAAGATCTTGAACCGTACAGTTAGGATCAGCTAAAGCTGCATGTCCAACCTGAAAAAGAACATCGACGGCCGTAATAAATCCATTTTATACAAAAAGATTGTTCCGCTTAAAACATGCAACTGCAGAAAACCGGCTTAGTGTCCTTTCAATAGAAGTTGCCTCAACGAATCGGTCATCTACCGAGCGGCCATCACAACTGAAGACAAAAACCCCTCCCAAACCGTCCTACGTTGGCCTAACGAAAAATTCTTTGAAAACCAGATACTCAAACCATAAAACTTCAATCTCTTATTCAAACAAAAAGTTTAGCACCGAACAAAGCAAACAATCTGGAATTTGTAAGACGATAAGTCAAAGTTCAAAGTCACTTGGAAAATGTTAAAGCAAGGTGCCCCATATAACCCCGCTTTGTAAATAATGCCTAATAATAACTTCATGTAGACACGCAAACAATAATCCTCCCGAAAACTAAATTTAAAAGCTCCCTTGTCACGCAATAGTATTGTAGTTTATTTACAATTTCGAACTTTCTATTGTTGTGTAAAAGCGCTCACTTATTGTGGTAATAAAATGCCAAGTCAAATCTAGAGTTGATCAGTATGTGAACTGTTGCATCTGGGGACCTTTCTAATCTTTTTTTATCCGTTTGCTATTTTAGCGGTTTGCAAGGACGAAGAGGGAAGTTTATTTCTAACAAAAGATGAAAATGGTTTGCAACGTTCTCACTGTATGGATTGCCATTGTAAAGCAGGCTTTCTGACATGCCGTAGAAACTTGACCATTAACTTCCCTGGCTATTACTATGGTTTCTATGTGCATAACGAGAATTGTGCGCAACCACAATGCAACGTTGCCAAGTTTGTGAGAGAAAAAATAGATCATTGTGAAGGTAACAAGTCACCGTCCTTACATTTACTAATAATATTACTTTTAGAATGAACAGTAAAGTCCATGATATAACAATAGCACAACTGACGTACAATATATTGGCTCTTGAGGGTAGCACACTACAATCAAAACTAACCATGGCGTTAACACAAAATCCTATGTCACACAAATGGTTGTGAAAAACAAACAAACAATATAAACAAACAAACAAAACAAGAACGAGAAAACAACTCAAAATAGACTTATTCATTTGGCACTTAATACTGACTTCTTGAAGAGGAACAGAGCATTTTTTGTCTAAATCAAAAAGAGGCTTTTTACCCCAGACGAGGCTAGGACCGGAGCCACAGACATCTGAAAGGGAGTGTAATTCTAAATCCTATGGACATAAATTATAACTACAAAAAAAAAAAAAAAAATTGAGTTTCGCATATTATAGTGGTAAATATTCGTTGGCGTAGTTTTGTTTTGTGATCTGCTTTCAAATTGTAATTGTAATTCTGCCATCAAATGCATTTGACTCTGGTCATAATTTAATGCTTACAAAGTTGTTTTTGTTTTTTTGTGTTTTTCGTATGAAATTTCAATTATAATCACAATCGGATTGATTCGTTCACATTTATACCACATAGGGGACAGATACTCACCTAGAGACTCTGTTCTTTGGTAATTAATGTATCTTGTAGGTTAACCGAGTTAAAATTAAACTAATTATGACTTTCACTTGTAACTAGGCGTCGAATTTACCATAGACGACGGTATTTACTACAAAGGCCAAACATGGAAATATGCAGGATGTGATTTTTACTTTCCTGGAGCCTATGAGGAACATGGTGTCTGCCCAGCAATGGCTAGACCTGTTTGTTACGTTTACAATGGAGCTATCTGCTGCGCCTCAGAGTGTCCCGGTATTAACTTGTGTTCTTGTGTCTATTTTCATTCATTAATTAATGTCTTCGTACTAGCTTATTGCCTTCATACGCCAAAGTCTTTATTCTCGTTTGCATGGGCTTTAATTGTCGTTCTTGGGCTGCAATCTTTGATTCACCATCTTGGATTTCAAAACTTACACTAAGCCGACTCACAAAGTCTCAAAATCACATGTTTAGGCAGACTAATCTGCAATTCCCGGTAATTTTAACGAAAAATTATAAATTATTAAGTGTTATGAAGCTCAATAATTCGTATAGTTTTAGTATTTTTGGTTCGTGATCATCAATGTTTATTATTTTGTACATACTGCCTTAGTCGTGTTATTCGAGGGCTGGACTGACTTCAAGAGCGCCTGCCTGTAAAAATCAGACACATTCTTAATTTCGCGACAAGGGTCGAAAACTCGATTTCGCGCATATTCCTATGGTAGATAGGCTAGGGCGTGACAAAAACTACTTGATAGTTGTTTTGGCAAAATATAAAGTCACGATATAAATTTTCGATTTCACGAATCACGAAACAAAGAATTCGGTTTTCACGATTCTCGAACATGTGCACGAAACTGTAATCAAAATTTGTACAAAAAAGTGCATTCTTTAACAGCTGTTGGAAAGGTGATATTTGAAATCTTAATTTGCTGGTTTTACTTTAAGAGACCTCTTAAGAGAAATATCGGACTTGGACAGCTCTCAAACGTTAAAGTTACTAAGGTCACGGAAAAAATCTGATCACAATGCAGTGAAATTCCGCTACGAACTCAACTTTAGACATTCACGATTTATTTCTTATCTATTCACGATTCACAGCCAAGGACTTGGATTTTACTAAAACTGGTAACGAGGAACGGGGAACGGGGAACGGGGAACGGCGAACGGGGAACGGGGAACGGGGAACGGGGAACGG